GGCATTGCTGCACTATTACCTCATTTAAATATTGCTTTATTGATTCATAACATGACACAGTCCCACAAAAAATAACGTCGGAACCACTTTGGCAGCAGTTTTCCTTCTAGCTGCTGTTGTAGGAGAACAGAGGAGAAACAAGTCTTGCCTGAGCAGGATTTCAGAACGGCACATTTTACTGTATTTGAAACAGCTTTTTCTTCCTGCATCAAATTCAATGTTTGGCAAATCCTTTCCTGTGTGTACAAAGTGGGTTGGAAGTTAGAATCCATGTAAGTGAAGAGTAATTTCACATGCTGACATTCTAATTATGGTTGAATTAATTTTACTGCAAGCAGTGTTAGCTTTTAATAATATTTCTCAATTTCTAACGGATTTTACAAATTTACAATTTACACATGAGAAAGTGACATTTCCTGGTAAAAATAAATTTAAAGTAAAAACTGAAATTTTACTAGTCACTATTTAATGTTTGATTTTCACAAATCAAACCAAACTCCTGTTATCAAGAATTAAATATTTACTAGTTAAAGTGTACGTTTTATATTTTTTATGTGTACATTGAATTCCTGAGATCAAAAGAATGGAAATAAAAGCTAAAACAGAACATGACTAAGCTTGTTAAGCACCAAGTCCATTTTTGTAGACACAAAATACAGGCTTAGGATGACTGCTGCTACTATTATCGGAATGCTTTTGTCTATCTTTATGGATAAAAGTGTCATACTTTGCCAAAAACCTCATAGGCTAGTCTTTCTGAGATTATTTAACGTTGAGAAAAACTGTGATGTTTAGGCATGCGGTTTGCACAGTAGTAACTTTTGGCTATAAACTTGCATTATCTGTTAGTGACATTAACTTTGTAGCTCCAGTGCAAAAGCAAGGAAGCAAAATTTGGACACCAAACATACTAGAAAGGCTACTAGAAAGCATGTAAAAAGTGTATTAGTTTCATTGAAAGGTAGCTTCTGGTGAGTTGCTAGCTTTCCATATAAGACACTTACATAGGAAAGGTATAACCATAAGGAAAAGTATCTGCAGTTAGCTGCTTACTTTTGTTTCTCCCCTGCAGTAGCAAGACCCTATTAACTCGGTCAAAGAACAGAACTGGTACTGTGGAAGGTTACACCACAGTAAGACAAGGTCCAGAAGGCTTGTTCACACACACACACGCACACACACACACACACACGTTCACCAAGTGCCCTCCTCAGAGAGCTCTCTCACTCTCACTTTTCTCATTTTCCATCCCCCTCAATGTGCATTTGACATCACAGCCTAATCGGCATTCAGAGCCAATCAGACGTAAAGACACAAACAAGCCCCTAGGCATGCACACACATACCAAATTGCACAGGTCTGCAGAGTTTGTGTGTGTGTGTGCATAAGATACATGCCAGTCGTGTGCCTCGGCGCACATTAAAAACATGACTCATCACACAACACGTTGCACACATGTTCTCCCACCCCCCTTCCACTATATGGTCACTGTGTGTCAGCCAGCAGCCGAAGAGCAACGCTCCAAGCACAGGTTGGGAAATAATATGAATTAAAAGGAGTTAAATTTACTGTGCATTTCTGTGGGTGTGTATAAAAGGGGGAGGGTAGAAGATTCACTGTGTTTACACTATTTATACATCACAAAGGCTGTACAGTGAAAGCGGTGGTGGAATATGTCCAAACAATTGCTAGAGGAGGCATAGCTTGTTCTAAAACGTATCCATACCCTAACGCAAATAGAAATTTGCATATGAACAATTGAGATAAACAGATTAAGGCTGCTAAGTTAAAGAATTTGCAGCTGTTTTACAAAACAGTTTCTTCCCAGCTACTACAATTTGACTGAGAGCACATGTCAAATTTGTCGTCTATAGAATTCAAATCTGACTGAAACCCCTAGTTGGTTTATCTCATTTCTATAGCTGCCAGGGGAATGGAGGCCAGACCCGTCAATCTCAAAAGAAAGCTGACAGGCAGCTTCAGCAGCTAAGCTTCGATAGACAGGCTTCAAATCAGCTGAGTGTCAGAAAAGCAGACTTCAGTCTTTACAGCTGCTTTACAGTGTCATCAGTGAAGCTAGAAAATTTTCTGCAGGGAAGAACAAGATGATGGCAGAGGAAGTAAAACAGGATGAACAGGGTGATAGAATTGTGAAAGATGACTTAAAATAATATTCAAAGCTGTGTCATCAGTAATGATCATCTGCATTAATATTAATACCTAGAAGTCAAAGTTATTACTAGCGTGACAAAAGCGTATATAATATTGTTGGAAATGGAACAATACAAAGCATCGTACAGTATTACGAATTGTACAGTATTGTTATACTGTGACTAGCATGTTAGCTTGGGGCTAACATGTTAGCTTGTGGCTAGAGCATTAGATTGGGACAGTATAAAGCATAAATACTGTGCTTTTATAATGTTGAAGGCTCCAAACTGAAAATGAAACCATTAACATATTACCATAAGGCAATCTAGCATTGTTTCAGCCAGTCTTGTATTGTTACAACTCTAACTATTAATCAATTCTCATTGAAAGTGGAGCAATTCTGCTGAAATTGTAGATTCTGAACTCGATCAATGCTACATTTGTGTCTATAATTAAAAGAGGACAACACTGATTGTGGTTTAAATCTGATGAAAGATTTTTGCTTTACAGAGTGACTATGATTTTTCGACATTAAAACAAACCTGTCAATACAGAATGTAAATCAAATGAAAATGTAATTAATTATTTAACTATCTCTATAGTTAATGGTGTAAATATGCAATGAAATCTAAATGATAATATAATGTAAACTGGATGTACAACAACATAACAGTAACTCTAGTCTTCTAAGAGTTAAACCAGTAGAACTTCCTTATGTTTACTACGAAATGCTGCTAGTCATTTAGCATTGCCTCTGCAACAGAGTGATAGGACACTTAAGGCCAGCTAGGTTTGGTGTGTTCTTGTTATCTAATGCACTCAACTGTTCAGACTGAGACTGCTTCATGGGCTCTCTGGCTGTTGAAGCTCAGAGCACTGCTGACCAGAGCTGGGGCACACAAGCGAGCAACAACATGCAAACATGGACACATTAATGGACTCATTCATGCGTGGAAGCTAACCTAACAAGATGCTTGCATCTGTTTCCTTGGAAGTACTAAGAAAGCAGCTGGGTACTGGTTGTATTGCTAGAAGAATAGCTTACATTTGATTTGCCAACAGCACTACTGCCTTCCCTTACTGTAAAAGGTTCCTAATCAGGGGTAAGAATTTGCACAATTAAGAATTTGTGACCACAATTACATAATAATATCATATACAATATATAATGTCATATACAATTAACAAACATGCTTATTTTACTAGAAAACTGTCAGGTTTTGCTCTGAAAAAGAAAATATTCAATAAAAATTTTACAATAATAAAAACATTGATGACCGTGGTGATCCACCTACCGAGGTCCACCCGGATGTCATCCAATCTAATGTCAAAACCTCAGCCAATGGAACAGCAGATGTGATATTCAGGTGGACCAGCTCATCGGGGGTTCACTACACCTTAATATATCACAGTGTTTACATTGACATTCCGACAAAATCTGATTTGATACAATTAGTTCAGACAATACAGGTTTGTTAAAAAGACCAAAAAAGCACAAATAAAAATCTCTGAGGCAAGTGGGAACTCAGGACAAAGGCTCTGCATTTTAGTGGCCTTAATGTAAAACACTGTGGCCGGGGGCACCAGGCAATAGGCAATGTCTATCCATTTCTAATTGTCCTTCAACTGTAAGGGCACACATGAGGGCCTAAACTTCAATACATTCATGTCTTTTAAGTAAGCCTGCATTTTAAGAGGTTAACCCTTAAATCCAGTAAGATTAAAATATAAGTAAGAATAACTATATTTAATAGTATTAACATTTTTGCATCAACAGCTTTGAATCTGGACTTTGATGTCAAGCAATGACAAAACCATGGCAAAAACGTAAATGATAAACTTCTTTCTGCAAAGCAAGACTTTATGCATAACAAAAACGTATCAATTTAAAATCATAACAAAAATATTTCTGATATTAACTCACTAACAAAAACATCAGTTTCAATGAGTTACCAGTGAGAAACAATTCATATTAAAGTACACAACAATGAGATAGATGGCAGTGAGAAGAACACCCCTGACTCCAGTGTTAGGTGGTATTTACAAAATTTGCTATCAACAAAAATGACAGCATCAGATGACCTTTACATTTACATTCATAAAGTTAATGACCCCTTCCTTCCTGAATAATGCCACTAATAGCATGCGTTGATTGGACTGTTTTGCTCTGTTATCTTTGCCTAAAATAAAATAAGAGACACCTTCCCTGGTACTACGAACATTAAATGAACAAAATCCACATTTTAAGAAAGACAGTATGCTATTTATGTAGTTTTTATGTATTTTTAACTGTTCTTTCAAAATAATCTGAAGCACCAAGCAGATGATATCCGCTATTCTTGGTTAATACTAAAACAAAAAAAAAATCAATATTGTTACACCAGTACCGGTATACTGTTAAAAATGATATATTACCCAGCATTACCTGACTCCAAAATCACATCAGCAATGACTCAGCACAATTCCACTTCGATGACACAGCATTTTCCATCAGCCCTGACACATATTTGAGGAATAAGGTCATAAAGCTTTCGGATGAATATGCCTTTTTCTCTTGCTCTCTCCCATTTATTCATCTAGTTTTCTTTCCTTCTTTTTCTCTTTTTTCTGTTTAATATTTTCACTTTCGCCTCTGAAGGCGCATTACCGTGGAGATGGCCACGGCGGTGATGAAAGCAGAAATATTTTTAGTAGCTTTTGCTTATGTAAGAGCTCTTCTTCCTGCCCTCCACAAAAATAAAGTCTAGAATGAGGCCAAAGTTGGTGTGGTCTTGCTTTTGCTGAGTAACCAAGTGAAAGAGAGGAGGAGGAAAAAGGGTGGCAACAGAGGGCAGAAAAAGAGAGGGAGGGAGAGTGGAAGGAAAAAGTGCGAGGAATTAAATTTTTTTCCTATACTTCTTGCCGCTCAATGGAAAGTGGCAATGGAGAAAGAGACAAAGAGACAGAGAGAGAGAGAAAGAAAGAAAGAAAGAAAGAGAAGCATGATCCACACTGCTTGTCAAGGTCACACCTGTCACTGAGCCAATCTCACACACATTGTTGCTCGGGTGAGTGTATTTTGATTTTTGTATGTACACTTCAAAAACTTCAAAAGTTTGGTATTACTGTTTACAACTACATAAAACATATTTTGTTGCACATACATGTTTAAAAATGACTGTAATGAGATGCTAATATTGAATAGGTTTCAAACAATTGGTAAGATACTACAAAAATGAGGAAATGTTCAATGATGAACTGAGCTGTAGACAATGGCATACTAACTGAAAAAGCTGTATAGCATTAAGAATGAAATTATAACAATATAAACATTCAGAATGCCTCATATTCGGAAAGTGGTAACCAAATCTCATTGATCAAATACTTACTCATAGAAAGTTACAGATTATAAAGACACAAAATTTACTATTATACCATTTTATAACTTCTTGTTGTCCCCAAAATACAGGGATGTACAATGAATCATAATGGTATCTGCAGATAATTACTTAAAAAAAATTACGAATCAGACAGATCAAATCGATATCTCATGACATATTTATTGTACTCCAGAAGAACAGAATGTTTAGGCGATGCTGGGCTACTGTGCTAAAACGTTTGCACATTTATTCATTTTACTGCATTTGAAACCCTACAGAAATTAATGTTGTATTTCTCTGTAATACCAATCCCTACACTGTAACACCTGTCTATGTCACACAGAGTAGTCCTCTCATATTCCCCCACTTAAGTAAATACACACTATCAGAGCAGCCAAGTTTGTGCGTATTTGAGTGTGTGTGGTTTTATCTAGCCTCACAGGGCCAGACATAATCTTGTAACGAGAATGTCTGGGGACAACGAGTGTGAAATTTTTAAACCAATTCAACGCCTTGTGAAGGAATGGTGGTAGCGAAGTTGGAGCTCAACATGCCTATTGTGCAACATTTTCTGATGCACAACAGGCCCTTCGTTAGGTGTAATGTAAATTAGCATGGCTGATAAGTCCCTCCCAAATCACTCCAATTAAGCATGTAAATGTGTGTTGGGAACATTTAGTAAAAATAAACATGACCTCTTGCAAAGTAAAAACAGTTCCATTCCGTAATGGTGGAGTTACATTTTGCTTGTGTTATCAAAGAGGGATCGTAACCTTGTTGCAGCAGATTTAGTTGCAATCCAGCACCAAAAGTTCAACAAATTGTTACGAGCAATTTTTTTAATCATCCTCACAATAATAGAATATTATTACAATTTTGTACACGTGTGGATATTTTTTCACAAGAAAAAAAGTAGGACAAATGTTTTTGTGTATGTGTGGGCATGTGTGGTGCTTGGAGGGCATCACCTGAGCCAGACAGGCTGGCCAGGCTGGGTGCAGAAGTGGTCGAATGGCTGCAATGAAAGGGGTTGAAAAGACTGTGGGCCTGGAAGCCTCTCTGAAGCAGTGATGAAACAAATCGATGAGCCTGGGGCAGCCTTTGATGGGGAGAGAGATTAGCTGAGTGACAGCCAAGTCAGACGGCTCGGCCAGCCTTGTTAGCGTAATGACGTGTGAATTGGTGTGTGCGCATTTGTGAAAGAGAGACTGTTGTAACTTGCATGTGTCAGAGCCACTGAACCGAAAGGCCTAAATTAACACGCAGTTAGTTTTGGCAATCGTCTGCGTTTGTACATGCATGTGTGTGTATGTGTTTGAGTGTTTATGTGCGTGTCTGTACGAGTTTAAACTGGTGAAGCGTAGAGTTGCATCTGTTGGTTGTAATTACTGAACAGGCAGGTGACCTCACAGGCACCAGGTATTCCCAACCTAAGCAGAGAACACCACAACAGAATATGCCCATCTTCCCCTAGCAACCGTATCCCATAATACACACAGCAACCACTGAGAAGCATAAATGAGAGAGAGACAGATAGATGAAAAGGACAGAAAAATAAAGGCTATGTTCATATTAAAGTCCTGTGATTCGAATTTTTTTCTGGTCTAATTCTTGAGTCTAGAAGTGACTCGTACCTGAAAGGACAAGCATGCCTATATTTTGACATACTTTTCACACTAGATGATGACAACAGTGATCTGTGCAAGCTAGGGGCATAGCAATACATAGAATTTGATACGAGATTCAGTTTGACTCTCCAAAACCTCTAGAATTTACAAATGTTCTATAAAAAGCCCAATCATTTGAGGGTGGGTGCATGCAAAACATAAGCCTCTTGCTCTCCCTGCCTGTTTACCCTGATAGGATGCACTCAAATGACTAGTTTCGGCCATTCGCAGTGGATTCCGCGAAAGTTCATAAATTAAAGGCCCTTGGAATAGATCGGTGGTCACCAACCCTGATCCTGGAAATATACCTTCCTGAAGACTTCACCTGTTGGCCCAAGCTGATTCATCTAATTATTTCCTCAAGTCCTTGATTAGCTGAACAGGGTGTTTTAGATTTGGGCTGCAGGTGAAACCTGCCGGAAGGCAGATAGACAGGAGGAGGGATGGTGACCACTGGAACAGACCAGGGGCATCTGCAATACAGGTTTAAATAAAGTTTCATTAAATTTCAATACACTGTTTCAAATTAGATTTTTCTATAAGGACTGAAATTGTCACACCCCTAGTGTATACACATATCCAACTTCAACCAGGCTCAAACCTGACTTGAAAAGTTAAACATTTTTTATTCAGCTCAGATCTGTGTCTGTGTAACTAAAGCCATTCTTTGCTTGTCTCATAAAGCCGACGTTGTTCACAGGGTCACACCAATGCGTTCAATATATGTTTTTTTTTGTTTGTTTTTTTTTGTTTTTTTTTACTTACTGGAGTTACCAAATGCCACTTTTCTTTATCTGTCTGCCTCGCTTTGAATGAGGGCAATGCTTTTCAGGAGAGGAGACTATATTGAATCTCTTTCCAACTTCATCATTAAGCTTTACAACAAGACGGTGAATCATATGCCCCCATTTGAGAGAATGTCACCCAGTTAGCGATCAGTCTACCTCAGAATCAGGTTCAGAAGTCAGCAACAAGGATTGGGAGGGGGGGTAATTGTACTGTAAATTATTTAACAGCCTCTCTGAGGACGTCACAAAGGGCACATTTCTATGACAACCAGGTTCAAGAGTACGTACGCCCCTCTTTTTCATGTCCCTGTCACAGCTAAAAGGCCTCCTCTGGCAAGCGGCAGTAAAGCACAAACAGTCCAGCTAAAGTGAAAGCTCGGCTTATTAGATTACATAAAAGAAATATCTGCATTTCAGATGGACCGATTCCATCCTTGCTTACACTGACAAATGAGAATATTAAGTAAGAAGATGCATTTCTTTGTAAGGGTAAGGTAAAAAGAAGCTGATTTGCAAGATTGAGACCCATTCTGCAAATGAGTTGCACAGTACATCGTTTGTTAATCGGTACCGCAATACAGAGATGTGCTACACCAAGGTTTGCGATATGTAAATATGCCCTCAGATAAATCACTCTGGACCAGTTTCCCAGATGCAGATAAAGCCTAAGCCTAGACAAAAAATTCCAGTGGCAATTTACCATTGGCAAAGCAATTTAGTCCAAGACTATAATTAATCCATCTTCAGGCAATGGGCTCTAAATGTTTTACTGCATGCTGTGAGCAACCTCACCAATTGACCCATTCCAACTCTCTCTAGGTGAGTTTTTGCAGGTGTTTGGAATAATCAAGGCATTTGTGTGTTCCAACAAATCTAATTAATTTTGATAAAATGTGCAGAACACATCACAATACTGGTCACGAATATGGTTTTGTGTATTGCAATCACAATATGCAGCAATTCAATTGAAATCCAGTATTTTGCCACAATATTCAGCCCTAATGCAGAGAGACTTGAGATTAGCTGCAGGGACGCTGGGGGACATTGGGAGGATGCTGAGGGAATGTTCCAGCAGGCAAACAGCTGCAGGCTGAGTGCGAGGATGATTTGGCAGCAGTACCAAAGCCTCCTCACCTCACACAATGAACCTCACATGACCTCCAAGACCTCTGCTGGGGTTAGAGAGCAAACTGAGCACTACTACACATGCCTCTGGAACATGGCAGATTGTGGTGTGAGTATGTGTTTAAGAGTGTGTGTGTGTGTGTGTGTGTGTGTGTGGCGAAGAGGGCAGTGAAAGCCAGAGAAAGAACAAAGAATAAGCCTATGCCATACAGGATACAGTGCATGTCCTCACATTTACATTGTCCTATATAGGGATACACCAATATGGAAGATGATAATATCGAAATCATATCTGTACTGGCAGATATTTGCCTTAAAAAAAAATATTAGCATCAGACAGATATCTAGATTTGACCGATTTTTAAACCGATATTTTATGTATTTATTTTACTCCCGTAAAGCAGAATGTTTAGGTGATGCTGAACTACTGTGCTAAAATGTCTACAATTTCTTCATTTTCTAGCATTTGTAACCCTACACAAATAAATTTACATTTTTTCTATACTAATGCAGGTGGACTTGCTCCCAATTTTTATGTTTTATAAATGTTTAAGTAACTGCATTAGTACTGATATCAGCACACGAAGAATATCAGTTATTGGCAACAGCCTAAAATTCCCATATCAGAGCATCCTTAAAGGGAACTATGGGCCGATTCCCATCATAAACATTTATAAAATGTAGAAATTGGAACGGGATTAGCATCACTGAGAAATTTAACACTTAACTTTATGTAGTAAAACAAAAAGTGCAAACATTTTTAGCACAGTAGTTTGGCATCACCAAAACATTCTGCTCTTCTGGAGTATAATTAATACATCATCAAAAATGGTTTTGAAATATTGGTGAAACCTAATCATTTGTCCAAAGGTGGTATTTTTTAAGCGTCTGCTGATACTAATATGATTCCGATATCACCGTGCATCCCTAATTACATAACAAGGAAAGCTCTCAATCAAACAGAAAAACTGTCATAAGGTCATTTTGGCCATAAAGATGATCCCAGTCTTAAAGAACCGCTAAAACGGCAATTTAGATTAACTTCAAGTTCCAATGGAAGTAAGAATGGCTAGAAGAAATCTTTCACCAGGACTGCTTTGACCACTCTGTTCAAGCAGATTCGTAGGAATTCTATTTCCTTTATTTGTCGCTAGTTTTGACAATGTATACGAGAACAAGAGTAATCTATCAGCCATTTATTATTAATGCCAGTACAATATTAACTCATCTCTATTGCTGTTATTTTTTTCAGTAATTTTAATATTCACTCAGTTTAATGTTGTGTTTTGTTTTGTATGGTATGCAGTGTTTCACATGTAAATTTAATGGACAATAAAGCATTCCAATACCTAACACAAATTCTGATTTCACTGCATGTCAGACACGCAACTGTACAAATGTAATATGCATACATTATAAAAGTTACATTAATGACATCCCACTTAAACAACCAAGAGGAAGGAGGAGGCTGAGTTCATATACTAGTCAGTCTCAATAATTATGTCTTGAGTGCAAACAGAGTAGGTTTGGAAATCCTGCTGTCTGAGGCGGCTCAGTGTGACGGGACATCTCTGTTAGCATGTCCTGCTCCCTCTGGGAAACACTAATCTGGCCAAGGTTACTGATGCATTCGATCACATCCGGCCACATCCGTGCTGACAGCCTATCCCTAGCAGCCACGGGCTAGCAGTTCTGCTCGGCTACACACCCACACACGCGCAGCATCTGATGGCTGCTGTTGTGTCATGATGGCAGGGAGGAAGGAGTTAAGCTTTTTTTCCAGAGCTGTGCCCAGAACACACATACACAGAAGCGCGCACACTTCAAATGATGAGCCTCACTTCAGTGTATTACATAAGCCACGGCATGCGCGTCCTCAGGCTGAGGCTCTGTGTGTGAATCGCCCTCAGTCCCGCACACCCAACATGACACAAGACAAAGGCACTCCAACATGCTTATAACAGCCATGACCCCTGACCTGGAAAAAACAGCATCCTCCCACAAAACACTGTCATCTCTACTATCTCTTTACTGCTTTGTTAGATACAGTCTACTTTTCAGCAACCACTCATTCAAGCCACAGCCTTCTAATTTAGGCACACTGCATAATGACAGGCAAGATCAATTGTCCTATACAGCTATATCCAATCACCCGACTGATCAGATGACAGGAGTTGCCATTGAATAAAAAATGGAGCTTTAGGTGGCAACCGTTTCTATGGTAAAGGCAGATCACAGATAGGTCAGTTGTTGAACGCCAGACAGATGACTCCTTGTCATGGATTAAATTATAGAGTCAGTAGAGATTCTACAGTGAAAATCACTTTTAGCCTAGTAGGTTTAGCATGCCAGAAATGTATGTGCAGCTATGCATTTATGCTCAACTAACATTCAGGAAAATATGTGTCACCAGAGAGAGGTACAAGCAACCTCAGTTTTTAAGGTCAAAGAAAATAGACCTGCATACTATCAATGCTGATATGGGGCTGCTGGTGAGTGCCAACTGGAGTTTTTGTGCTAAATGGTATACGAACATGAATTATTTTAAATCACCACAAGTGGACAATTTTCTTAATGTCAGAGGATTGTACTTATTTTGATTTAAAATTAGCAATTTTAAAGAAATACCCTTTGTTTTAAACAGCTGCATTTTTAACAAAACTTGTAACTGTGGGGAACCTTAATATCAGTTGATTTTTATTAGCTAGGACATATGAGCCAAGCACTAATGATGATAACTCTGCTTGATTTATATGACTGGGAGAGGTAGTGCCAGGGTATTCATTACAGTCATGTTTCAGCAGGGAGCAGTGAAAAGCCCTACAGAAGCCAGTGTGGTGACCACAACCAGGGGACTACTTACTATGCATTTGCTCTCTCATGAAGTCATCGCACCACCATCTCTGCTTGTGTGTGTGTGTGTGTGTGTGTGTGTGTGTGTGTGTGTGTGTGTATGTGTGTGTTTGAGAGAGAGAGAATCTGATCAATAGATCTGTGAGCAAGCCAGAGACAGTGGGCCTGTGTGGCTGGCTGAGTTATGAGTCTGCCATTTTCTCTCCTCTGCACTTAACAATCCATTTTGCAAAGGACAGCGACCACCCGGCACCAGGCGGCTGGAAAGAAGCTCAGTTTTAGCACCAAAAGCAGCCTGCAAGTAACCCAGTTTTCTAAAACAACGCAAAAGGCCATGAAGCCAAGAGTCACATAGAAAAACAGCTGTCTATTACTAAACACTATATGGCCAAAAGTATGTGGACCCCTCCAATAATTAGGCTCAGCCACAAAGCGGTAGCCCACACAAACTCACGCAGTGGAGCCTCCCAGAGCTATAGCACGTCGTAGTACTTAAAAATTGCCAATCTTCAATTGCATCACTCACTACTCAAAGACTGCCTCTGTAAGCAACATCAGCACTAGAATTGTGCACTGGGAGTTTTATGAAATCGGCTTCCATGGCCGACCTCTGCACCCAAGCCTAAGATCACTATGCACAATACCAAGCGTCAGCTAGAGCCAAGCACACTGCCATTGGACTCTGGAACAGTGAAAATGTGTTCTCTGGGGTGATGAATCAAGCTTCACTCTCTGGCAGCCTGGGTGTGGTGGATGCCCACAGAACACTACCTACAGGAATGCACAGGGCCAACAGTGATGTTTGGTGGAGGAGGGATGCTGTTTTTTAGTGTTTGGGCTAGGCTCCATAATACCAGCAAAGGATAATGTTAATGAATACCAAGACACTGTACACAATTATATGCTTCCAACTTTGTGGCAACAATTTGGGAAAGGCATTTTCCTCTTCCAGCATGACTGTGCCACTGTGCACAAAATGAAGTCCATAAAGACACAAGTTTGCTGAGTTTGGTGTGAAGGAACTTCAGTCATTTATATTCTTCTGGCTCCCAGAATTGCGGAGGCTGTTATAGGCAACTCCATTTTAATGCCCATTGATGGTTTTGGAATAGGATGTCCAACAAGTTTATGTAGTGCCATCCACATGCATTTGACCATATACTGTAGTGTAATGCTGTTCTGGGTTTTTGGTCCACCTAAAAAACTGGCAGCCATGTTGATGCCTAGTCTCATGGTAAAACTAAATCAGGTCCCACTTGAAAGCAAATACCAACGCTTCAAATAAGCACAAGTTAAATGGGCAAAAACGTTATATTTTACATCACTTTCCAAGCACAGCCCTTCTGATGATAGTTCTTGGCAAAAGACGTAAGAGACAAAAACACAGAAGATACTCTGTTTTTCTTATTCTTTCCTCCTTCCATTTCTTTTCCTCACTCTCCTTAAACCATCTCACCCCGCCTCCCCTTCGCTCCCTTTTCTCTCTCTCCCAACACTTTTCGTCTGAAGGCGGTGCCACTTTGGGGACAGTAAACACATTCCCCAGCCTGTGGAGGACGGCGGAGAGCAGCCCGCTTTTTTGGGATCACGGTGCATTAGCCCGCCGGCGTGAAACTGTAGACTTCTCTCTCCTTTTTTTCTGCAGTAATCTTCCGGACGATTCTGCCCGCGCGCCGCTACGGCCCCTTGATCTGCCACTTTCTATCAACCTCAGAGACAAGAAAAACCAGGACCCAGAAAGAAAGGGCTAACGGACTACTGAAAGCAGCCACACAACTCCTGACCATGCAGCTCCATAGAGTCAAAAGATGCTATCGATGCGGCATTCGGTCAGCCAGCAAATGTTACAAGGCCGATCCCATCAGAGCAAAGGCATTTTCAAAACTCACACCTACTCCCAGCAGTTAGGCCAAGTGTGAGAGCCCTCAGTACTTCCACTTACTCCTTTTCCACCCTCAAGGTGCCAGTCTTAGTACTGGAGCCAGTGTCCAGTCATGAATCACTGCATGCATTTCCACTGCAAAAAAATTCTGCCTCATTTGCAAGAAAATCAGTGCTATTCTGGTCCTATAAACTTGCCGCAATGAAACCAAGGAAAAGATAACAACCATGTCTGTGAATGTGGTTATTTCACCACCTAAAGTTTTCATAGGGATTAATTCATCAGATAATCTACTACTTTTCAAGCTGTTTGGCAAAATCACTGAAAACAGCAGCAAAAGCGTGAATTACCAGTAATCTGTAGCCATGTATCCTAGATGAACATTGAAATACAAAAGGAGTAGCTTAAACCTGGGTTAACCAGAACAAGAGAGCACATTATAAACAAAAAATTTAAAAAGCTGGGGGCACTGAGGAAATAAGGGGCTGTGGGGTGAAGGGACAAGGAGCTCAACTAATATAAAATTAGGGCATCGTCCCAGGGTTCTCATACCCCTCATCTGCCGGCAGCAGACTGTTATCTGATCACAACTCACTGCCGGCGAGCTCCTCAAAAGCGATCCATTTCTAAAGAGGGCCAATTCTCTCAAGTGCCGTCGGCATCAACTTCCACTGAGGCAGCTCGACCAGTCAGGGGGTGGAATAAGGCAGAACCCATCCGCAGATATGACAGACAGCAACTTTGTCTAATGTGAGGACATGCTGGGGAGAAGCAAAGCTATCTTTTCAATTAACTAATTCACAAATTAACTAATTTTGATGTGCAAGGATATGTCACACCTGCAAGCAAGTGAGTAAATTGGAAAAACACACACTGAAAAACAGGCAGGAGTTCATAAAGCCATCATTTCAATGGAAGTTTTTTTTAAATTTGAGAGGAAGCTTCCCAATGCATGGGATCTGAATAGTTTCAGATTGCTTACAAACCAAAATAGTGCCGAGAAGCTGAACAGACAGTGACAATTTCCATTAGCCTGATCTCAGATGTGTTCTTCATAGTACAATGTGCAGTTCAAATCCCTATTTCAGCATGAGCACACAGAGTCATAGCTCGAGACGTGAGATCAACATAGGCAAAAGTGTCGCCGTTGGTGTTAGCGAACAGAGTCCAAGAGCGCTTTGCACTTAGTCAGTGTGACGAACAGAGACGAACACAAATGCCCACATTTTAACAGTTTAAAAAGCAGTACTTACGGGTGTTTCCTTGTCATCCATCTGAAAAAAGAACCATGCACATGCATACTTACCGAAAACACATAAGACAGTCTAAGAGAATAAAGGATACAATCGTAAAGCTCCACTCTGAGTCCCAATGGCAAGGATTTTCTGGACCGGGTCAAATGCCATTGAAGACGGCTGATAGGGAAAGCCATGGCGGACAGTCTGGGCATCCAGGAGGGCAATGTGGGAAAAAGGCATATAAGAGAGAACGTAAGCAAGTTTGACATTAACACTGTATGCATTGTGACAAAAGGACTGAGCGCAAAAACACCTATACACAAAACAGTACTGTGAAGTGAAGAAGGAAAGTGAACCACCTGATTTATTTTTTTATATGTCCTCCATTTAAGTGTGTGTGTGTGTGTGTATAGATATATATGTGTGTGTGTTATTAATACACACATACACGCACACACACTCGACAATAACGTGACGGTGGTGTGTCAGTGTATGTTGCACTGGTATGAGTGGATCAGACACAGCAGTGTTTAAACACTTTGTCCACTCATTCTCCCTTCTAGAAAATGTGTTTGCGTGGATATATATATATATATATATATATATATATATATATATAAAAAACAACCCAACCATTAACAACTAACCATATCTTACGGGTTTACTGCATATTGCAACAAGAGCCTTTTCTGCAGCTGTCATCTCTCTGTGTGTTTGCTTAATGAGAGAGTGAGGGCCTAAGCGTCTTACGTAAGCGGCGCGGCGCGCGGGCACCTGCCGTTGCCGGAGTGTTTCAGCTCAACGCGCCGAGCAACAAGCTCCAGTCCAGATTCACCACATGCAGGCCAGTCCGGGGTGTAACAGACCTAACGAACCAAACCAGTGAGCTAAAAACCAGTACTTGCGGGTGTCTCCGTGTTGTCCTTAGCTTAGTTTCCTCTCCTGCTGCGAGCTTCACTGATTATTAAGGACAATACAACAAGCTCACGAAAGCCCGGCCTTCGCCATCTCTCCTTCACTACAGTCCCCATGGCAAATGTTTTGTGGGGACTTTCGCCACTTCTGTCACAAACGAATTGCAAATCATGCTTTCGTTATAAGTATAAACAACATTAACGGCCACAAAGAGTAGAGACTACGCAATGAGGCTATGACACACACAGCTAGGCTGAATGATTCCGCAAAAAGGAGATGCTGCATGTTAACGACACGTGTAATAATGGATGCAGCTTTCCTTTAGGCTGCTCCTGGGTGTTAGGGGAATATACCAACTGAGTGTGTGCGTGTGATACAAAGCGAGAGGTAGCAATGATTTCGTCTGTGTGTGATACAACGCTCCCCTGCACATACCAGTCACATCACAACTCACCAACTGACATGTTAATCCCAATCCAACAAATTATGCAAGATTATGCCCCCCCGTAGAGCCTACACACACACACACACACACACACACACACACACTTGCTCTCACCACACACCATGCGGTGGTTCAACGCTACAAAAAAAAAAAATCAACTGCAGACGAGGTGATGGTGCGTTTCACAGACACCGAGCTCTCCAGTACTGCGGGAACACAATTCTGTGAAGAGCAAAACTGATTTTTACGCTTTGACATTCATTTTATAAACGCAGAGTCAGTGCTTTGCAGCTTTCCCTCTCCACAAACTGTAGCTTTATTCGTCTTAGCTCCCTTTCATTGGGCAGCAGGATCAGGCCAACAACGTTCAATCACGATGCATATGTTCTTATGGCATCTCTTCCTCCGTGGACATGGAGGACAAAAACGGACGCTTCCGTTTGCCTTTTCGCACGTGAACAACGCAGCAGTGCAGTTTTGGCTGTATTTCACTGTGGAGCATCGCTGCCCTGCAGGACTGAAATGATCCAAATCTCCAATCCTGCCAAATGTGCGTCAGCTATCTGCCTTCTAACAGCTCTTGGCAAGAAAACAGAGAAAACAGCGCTGGCTGTCGCATTTGCCTGCCTGGAAAGGGACACGACTCATCTTCTGTGAACCTCATATAAGCTACATTACAGGGTTTTTAAGTCTTACAGGAGTTCACATTCAGCCGACAAGAAGGGAAAGCTCACTAATTCAAAGACAACACGAATTCTACGGACCGAATCCATAAGCAAATTAGCAAAGCAAACAGTGGCCAAGCCGTCTATTGCCTATTCACACACCTTGCAGAGCTGAAAGTGCTCGGACTGGAGGGTCTCCGGGATGATGAAGTCGTTCTCCTTAGCCCCTGTTTGCGGGGACGGCGAGGGGGACGACACGGCCGTGAGACCGTCCAGCACCTTCCGGATGTTAAACTTCTTCATTTTCCCCCCAGGTTCAGCCGACACGACGGAGGACGGAGCACCTGAGACGAGATTACCCGGTAAAGATGAGGATGAGGAAAAAGAGGAGGGGGTGGGGGAGCCGCTCTCTCTCTCTCTTTCTCTCTTTGAGGTGGCTGTCTGTAAATATCACATTTTTTTTACTGCTCGGGAGGTTTGGTCACCGTGTCGTCCATGGCGTGCGGCTCCAGCACGTTGGCGTGTGATGTTTTTTTCAGAGCCTTTTTCAGGAGAGCTGGCGACCGTTTAGTGTTCTCCAACTTGAAGTCCCGCTGCGTCTCTCTCTCTCTCTCTCTCTCTCTCTCGCTTTCTCTCTTTTCGCACCGCCCCTCTCCTCGCGGAACACTCCACTGCGTCTTCCCTTCTCTCTCTGCAGTCTGTTTTTCTCTGTTGCTGTCTGTTTCTTTTCTGTGTTTTTCTCGTTCTGTTCTCTTTTTGTCAAATTTGTAATTTCAAAAAATCTCCCACAGGTTTATAATATTCTTTTTCCTCTTTGGTTCTCTCTCTTTCTCTCTCTCCCCCTCTTTCGGCCCCGCCCTCTCTCCGGCACAACACCCGGATGTTTAAAAGCTCCTCACACTCGCCTCCGCGCTATAGGTTTTGAGCGCGCGCCCGGCATCACGTGAAACATACAGAGGCAGAGCCGTGCACCTGGAGTAGCGGGATGCTGCCAATAGCAGAGGAGTGGGGGCGGAGCGCTGCACCTGCAGTGGCTAGATGCAGCCAATCGGAGCGGAACGGGGCGGGGCCTCAGGCGAGCATCTTCAGCTCAGCTAGCGACTAGTGACGGGCATTAGCACTATTTCTAACCGCCTGTTTAAGTAAATCGAGCAAATTTTTTATTTTTGTTTTGATCAATAGCAGCATTGCTAAGCCCACAATTTCTGATGACAGTCTAATAGATTCTTTGAAAAAGAATTAATTCATGAATTGCTCATTACTATAAGCGACAAGTTCAGTACACGCACTGCCAGCTTGGAAATGTCCTCACAGTTGTAGTATAAAATCCTTCATAACTGTTTTTCCACTTTTCTGGCAGGAAGTTTAGTCCACCATCTTTCAGCTCACCCCTTTTATATCCCTTAGACTTGTCAAGGAGTGGAGAGTGAGTGAGGAATAGTGGTAATTCTGGACACGCTGTAGACCATAAATGATACTGACTTTTGTAAATGAGCCTTTTTAAAATGACACTGGGATAACCATCAGTTTCTTGTATTGTTACCTAAAGGCGCAGCACACCAGAATACACCACAATTGTCTTGACTTTCAAACATCCAAGCACAATTTTGACTGAGGATGCAATGATATGGGAGTGTTGCAATAATAATGATATTTTTCATATATGCAATATGTTTTATGGGTATTGGCATCGGCAGACATACATTTACAAAATGTAGAAACAGAAACTACATTACTTGGATTAACGTTATGGAGAAATATATGATTTGTTATGGTAGTTACAAATGCAGTAAAATTAATAAAAGATTTCAGGACAGTAGCCCAAATGTTTTGTTCCAGTATTTAATAAATACGCATCAAATAGTGATTTGCAATAGCGATCAAATCTAAACATATTTCTACTGGTGATATTTTTTTAAACTAAACAGCTGCTGATACAAATATGATTCTGATATCATTGTGAATCTTAATACACACAATTATTTTACATTTTGGAGGGTGACTGGTTTGTACATCAGTATGTTTCTTTTGCAAAGGCGAATAAATAAGGTACATTGTTGGGTAGCATTTCAAGAGTTACATCTCTAACATATTGCATTCATAGCTGGAGACATTTCAGCCTTAAGAGTGGAATTATCAGCCATGCTGACAGTACTGGTGCCTCTCAACAGAAAGCTATGTATCTTTTTCAGCTGAGGAGAGGGATCTACTTAATCTTCCTTCAGATTACAGAGCCAGCATAGTGACCATTAGGTCGAGCCACGGTCAGCTATGCTAAGCAAATCTCATGTCCCTGTTATCAGACTGCAGCTTGTGGAAAACCTATCAGGATCTGAACTACAGGGGTTCCTGTAACACAAGAGCAGGCAAGGACATGTGAGATAAGGTGCAGTTTCCCAAAAGAAGTGCAGTGTTCAGATCATCTTAGCACTATCAGAGTAGCTGTATCTCAAAGCAAGTAATTCTGTAGGGTACGAGCACTAATCTTTTTTAGTGCAAGTAGTGTTCAAACTGGGAAATGTAACAAGATGTAGTAGATTTTTAATACTCAGATGATGTACTACAGTCTAAAATGTTCAAAATGGCCAATTACTTGAGGCAAAGATCCTTTTACTTTGAGTGACCCTGTGCCTTACTTAAGTTTATTTTATTAAAATGCATGACTGAACCTCCCATTTTGTCATAACCAATGTAATAATAACACCTCTGAAACTTTACCAAATGTTTCAGTAGTGACAATTTTGCATTTTGCGCATAACTCAAAAATGCTAGCCAGTACATGACTAGCAAACATAGCTTTGAACAGTTGTACACACATAAAATCACAATATTTTTCACTGAAACATAAATAGTTGATGTAATTGCAGAAAACATGACAATTCTTAAGGTTATGCACTCATATTGAGACTTCAGGGACACATTTAATTCAAAACAATGAGATCTAACTGCTCACCAAGTGGCCATGAGAGACAGAGATGCATTCTCATTAGCCACATCCCTTCTTTAAAATGCAGGGGTGTGGCTAAAATGAGGCTCCACCTATAGACTAAAACCTATAGACTAAAGTTTTACTTTAAAACAAATCAAAAAGATCTTAAAAAAATATGGGAAAAAATGCAAAAAAGGTATCATTTGTTTAAGTTGAAATTTAGGGTTTAGGATTAGTGACAGCCACCTCCCAATGGAAAGTGCCCTATAAATAATGATTTTGTATATGTTTAGTCTATTACTATCTCTGTTAATGCCTTGGAATTAACTGGATCATAACATAATCCTTTGAAATATCTAAGATCTGAGCACTTTTTTATTTACTTTTTTTTTTTACTGTCGGCTTGAACTAACTTGGTAGAATGGTCCATATAGTGTAAGAACTGAAACCCAGTGAAAGTCTTCAAACTAATCATTATTTCTTTAAATGCAAAGATGTTTTCAGGAAAGCCACTCAAGTTTAGTTGAATAAGGCCATCATCATACATCATACACATATTTGGCTGTGCCATTCAATAACTAACTAGAACGGTGAGTCACTCCAATTGAAGAAAAATCTTTTTAGTCGCACTGTCCAGTGAAACTGAGAACACTTGACAATTTACAGGAGGAAATAGATTATTCAAAAGAGTAGCTTTCTACAGATGTGGAGAGGCTGGTGTGGCCTTTATTAGTTCATTAGAGCCTTTATAAGGCTGAAATAGAGCACTTTGATTCCCGTGCTGACAGTGTTATGCTGCCAGTAAGCGCTGCCTTCCTTTCCTTATCGGGAGCGGGGAGAGGTGGAGAGACCCTTATAAGGTAAGGACCCTCTTCATTTACGTGTGAGGCACTGACCAATCTCTCACCCACCCACACATAAAAGCGCACGTCTGTGAAGCTGCAGACAGGAGCATCAGTGATTTAATGTAATGTTTTTCTATTGTTATGCTCTCATCCTATTCATGCTGCTAAAGAGATAAGGGGGGGGCATTTTTGCTTAGTATTCAGCTTGGAGCATCCCTTGTGTCCTGGCTGCTTTTTGGCAGGCTTTGATAAGACCTGTCCATTGATGGCGGTCCGTATTGTTCTTCACGGAGGGGCCAAAGTTCACGGCAGGGTAACCATAGTGAGTGTGCCCTGCCTGATGCAGTATATGTGCATGCAGTCAGGAGCACACTAATAATAGAGCCTCACAGCACCTGATTAAACACTGCTATTCATTTACTCTGCCCCATCTATAGGGTTTTGTTATTAATATATATTGCATTTAACATATACAAGCTGCATTGGCAAGTCACTGCAAAAGATAATGATTATATTATAATTCACAGTCATTCATTTAAAGATGCAGTAGACATCTTTGTCTATGAATACACATGATATATTTGTGACATAAAGGGATGAGTGGGAAAGGAATTTGTTCTAAAAGTAAAATGAGGAGAATGTTCAATCTGAAATGTTTGTATTATTCTGTGTTCTTCTGAATAAAAGCAGAACAAGAAGAAAATTAGATTACAGGCCTTAGATAAATACCCCATAAAACTCATCAGAAACAGGCTGTTATGATCATCATTATCCATACTTGGTTATGTTTTGCCACAAAAATTGACAAATTTTTTTGTCCTGATTCAAGCATTACATAAATTAATTTGAATCATCACACCCAGAATGCATTTCAGCATCACCATGGGGACTCAGCGCATCACAATAGGTGATGTCATAAAGTGCTTATCCAATCAAATGTAGGGACCTTTTCTCCTTGGTATGCTTGGCCCCTCCCTCTTTAGTGTTAACCAAGTACCTATTTATGCAGGTTGATGATTAAACAGCAGTGCCGCTCTTTTATGACATCGTTGCAGGACGTGCTATGTCACAATGGTGTTGTTCTGGTGACCTCCATCAAGCCATGAATAATTCAAAGGAAGCTTGTGAATATGCAGATGTGCGTTCTACGATTGAATGCTGAGGTATAAATCAGTAGCCATGTAAAGTGTGTTTAATACGGAGAACATTATGTTGAGGGATGTGTTTAAATTAATCCGCCACTAAGCCTGCAAGGAAGAAGAAGAGAGGTGAAAGCGTTCTGGCCTTAAAAGAACTTCATTATGACCATCTTTACATAATGGTGATGACACATACACAGACACTCATACACAAAAGTACACAGCACCTATTTTTGAAATGCCAGTGTGACACAATTTGCATATACTTCTTAAAAATGCACACACACACACACCTCACATATCACATAATAGCCAGTGACAGCCAAGATTATGCAAATACACTACAACCCACAGTAGCATACAGAAAAGGTCTGATGGGTGACCCTAACCTTAATATAACCCATGTAAGACTGATCAGTGATGTGGTCACTGCATGTAGAGTATTGTGTAGAAGTCAGCAACCTCCCTTTATTTATTTAATTTCCAGTCAAAACAACCATTAAAACAAGTGATTTAATTTCAGCATCAGGAAAAAAGCAGAAAACATATATTTAGCTGAAAATTACACATAACCTTCAACAACTAAATGCGATATCAAAATGTTTAGCATTTAATTTATGGAGTCTTTTTAGGAAACTTGCTTTCAGTTTTTTCAAACAAATCTGCAGGGATACTTTTCCACACCTCCAAAGTTCAGTTGTAGAAGTTGGTTGCATTCAACAAGAAGCACTTTTTTTCAGATCTTAATTTTGTTTTGTCTCTCAAACAGGGATGGCAATTATTTTGCTTTTCGATCCGATGCTAAGTAATACCAACATTACTATACCAAAACCTATACCTAAACTTTTGAAAAGTGCATGTAAAAAGAAGGGAAATCTTTGCGATTTTCTACAGTGAAAACCAGTAAATGAGGACATCAGAAATGATATTTGAAAGGCGTTGCTTTAG